GGCCTTCCATGGATGATGTAACAGACTCTGAAAATCCCTCATGGAGGTCCTTGCCCTCCCTGGGAGCAGAGAGGGGCTGGAGTGAGGGTGATGGGTTGGGAGGATTGAGAGGTGGGGGAGGAGGGGAGGGAGAGGGAACTGAAAGTGACATGTGTAAAAAGTTAAATAAAAAATACATGGAAAAAAAGAAAGGGTATGGGAAAAGATATTCCACATAATGGTAACCAGAAGAAAAGTAGGTGTATCTATATTTACCTCAATTAAAACAAAGTTCAAACCAAAACTGTCAACAGAGACAAAGAAGGAACTTCTATAATGATATGTTATCTACCTTGAATATACATCAATTGTTATTAGCACCAACAGAGGACATAAAAACGAAAGGCAATCCTTGTAGAACTGAAGGAAGAATAGACATCAAAATAATAACAGCAAGGTACTTCAGCACTTTGCTTTCAATAATTGTTATAACATCATTCAGAGATCAGCTTTTTAAAAAAAGGACATGAACAGCCCCATAGACATTGAACTTAACAGATTATATACACAGCAGGATATACACATTCTCCTGACTCACTCACTGAACATACTTCAGAACAGACCACATATTAGGTCACAAAACAAGTGTTACAGAAGTCAAAGATCATTGCAAGTATCTTTACGGATCACAACAGAGTGAAACTAAAAACCAGCAGCCAAAGGAAAACCGGAAATTTTACAAACATACGTGAATTAAACAACACATTTGAGAACAACCATTGGATCAAAGGATAAATAAAAAATGAAATTGGAGAATGCATGGAAACCAATGAAAATGACAACACGTCATTAAAAACCACAGCTACAATAAGAGCAATAATAAGTTTATTGCAACAACTGCCTACACACATAACCATGTGTGCATACACTCTCCCCCCCTTCACTCTCTCATTCTCTCATACATAGATTCAAGCAGCCTAACAATAAACTTAAGAAAATTTATTTTTAGGAGAAGAGCACATTAAGCCTAAAATTAGCAGGGGAAAAAAGAAATTATAGACAGAAATTAACAAAAACATTAGAAAAAACAGTTAACTTAAAGGTTTTTGGGGAAAGATCAATAAAATTGACAAATACGCAACTAAACTAAGGGAAGAGACTCAAATGAAGACATTACACCTGATATAAATAGAATAATGAAAGAATAGCACTATAAGCAAATAAATGGCATGAAACTGAATAGCCTAAAAGAAATTCAAGAGGAAAAAAATAAAATAAAACAGTTATAAACTCATTCTATCCGGTCAGCATGACCCTATCACAAAAGGCTGATAAAGACCACAGCAGACTTCTGGGTAGGTGGCAAATAGAGATTGCCTGGTGTGTGAGGTAGCAAAAGAGAGAGTCAGAATTTAAAAAAAAATGTAGACTCTATTCCAAAGAGGAGGAAGAGCTTCTGCAGAAAGAAATCCACAAAGAAATAAAAGGATGCAAGAAAGAATCAGAAAGAGAAAGAGAGAGGTAGGACACGAAGCAGAGGAGTTTCCGTGGCACAGCTCCCTGAAGGTAAAGAGGAAAGAAACTACTTGTAAGGGAAAGCCAAGCAGGCCTATGCTCAGGACAGGACCACAACCCTAAGGAGTCTCAAATCCAGTTTGGGCTTTTGTGAGACACTGTCCCCTCCAGCACTGTATGTCATGCTCTATGACTCAGAGGACAGATGAGTGTCATCCTGAAAGAAAAATCTATTGCCTAAAGCTGAAGTATCTCAGAAGCCTGAGACCAAGAAACATCCACAAGTCTGGGAGTCTCGGTTCAGCTTGACACACCCCTGAGGGAAGTCCCAGAGAGGTGGTTGTGGAGAGCAAGAAATTGAAGAAGAGCAGATGCCACTGTCCTGTCACCAATCCCTACAACCATGGTCAAGCCCACCGTGTTCTTCGACATCTTGGCCAACGGCGAGTCCTTGAGCTACATCTCCTCAAACCTGCCTGCAGACAAGGATCCAAAGACAGCAGAAAACTTTTGCACTCTGAGCACTGGAGAGAAAGGATTTGGATATAAGGGTTCCTTGTTTCACTAAATTATTCTAGGATTCATGTGCCAGGGTGGTGACTTCACACACCACCATGGCCCTAGCAGCAGGTCCATCTACAGTGAGAAATTTGGGGATGAGAGCGTCATTCTGCAGCATACAGGTCCTGGCATCTTGTCTATGGCAAATGATGGACCAAACACAAATGGTTCCCAGTTTTGTTTTGTTGTTGTTGTTGTTTGTTTATTTGTTTGTTTGTTTTGGGGGTTTTCATCTGCACTGGCAAAACCGAGTGGCTAGATAGCAAACACGTGGTCTTTGGGAAGGCGAAAGACAGCATGAGCATTCTAGAAGCCATGGACGTGCTTTGGATCCAGGAATGGCAAGACCAGAAAGATCACCATGGTTGGCTGTGGAGAACCCTAATTCTTTTGATTTCTTCTGTAACTCAGGAGAGTGCCTCTACCCCCATCTGCCTGTACTATTCTATAGTCTCTGCTCTCACTGAAGTTCTTTGGGTTCCATATTTTCCTCATTCCTTTCCAAGTCTAGCTGGATTGTAGAGTTAAGTTTATGATTACTAATAAAAAATAAGTAAGAAAAGAAATTGAAGAAGAAACTAAGAGATGGAGACATCCCCCATTTTTATAGATTGGTAGAATTGATATTGTAAAAATACTTAAATCTCAGAAAGAACTGACAATTCAATGTAATCGCCACCAAAATCCCAATGACATTGTTCACATATCTAGAAAAAAATCCTAAAATCATATAGAAGCACAAAAGACTCTAGAGAGCCAAAGTAACTCATAGCAAAAAGCAACTCTAGAAGCATCATAACACCCAACCTCGAATTACATATAGAATCATAGTCCAAAAACAGATGGTACGAGCATGAAAACAGACCTGCAGGCCCGTGAAATAGAATGGAGGACCCAGAAATAAACCCACACAGCAACCAAATTTTTGACAAAGCTGTCAAAAACATACACTGGAGAAAAGATGGCCTCTAAAACAAATGTAGATGAATAAAAATGAGATCTCTCACCCTGGGAAAAAAACAATTAAAGTGGACTAATGATTTTAATATAAACATTGAAACTTTGAAAATGTTAAAGGAAAACCACTTCAACACTCAGGCATAATCAAAAAACCCTGAGCACCAGAAATTCCTGGGAATTAGCAAATGCTATTACATGAAACTAATGTATATCTGCATAACAAAATAAGAAACCATCAGAGTGAAGACAGCTTATAGAATGGAGAAAGTCTTTGCCAAGTACACATCAGACAATTGTATGATATCTAAGATATAAAAAAACTGCAAAGTTGAAGAACACACAAAAAATGAAATCATCTGATTGATAAATGGGCTAAAAATGAGTAAATAGTTCTTGAAAGGAGAAATACAAATGACCAATGCATACTTAGAAAAGTGTTAAACATCCTTAGGATTTTGATAAATGCATGCTAAAACTGTTTTGAGATTCCATCCCTCCTCAGTCAGAATCCTCATTATCAAGAAAAAAAAACAATTAAAAAATGCAGAAGGAGGAAAAAGAAACCCTATTTACTGCTGGTAAGATTATAAACTTGCATGGCTACTATGGCAACTAGTATGGAGGACCACTTTGGAATGTATATCTAAAGACTCTACACCAATATCCAATAGAGATGCTTGTATTCATGTTTATTGCTGTAATCGTTGCAATAGCCAGGAAATGGAATCAGTCCAGGTGTCCATCAACAGATGACTGGATAAAGAAAATGTAGTAATATGCACAATGGAATTTATGCATCTATAAAGAAAAATAAAATCATAAGCAGTTGTTGCATGTTGATTTTTGTGTGCCCAGTAGCTTCATTAGATAATACTTCTAGTTCTAACTAATGAATTTCTTCTAGCACCCTCTGCTTCTCATTCCCCTTTTCTTCTTTGGCAGTCTTCCCATGTAGTCTGGGTTGGCTTTGAATGTGTGACCCTTTGCATTGGTCTCTTAGATATTGGGATTACAAATGTGCACCACCATGGTTGGCTGCATCATAGTATTCTTTTTTAAGTTGGAGTCTTTTATATTTAATATCTGTCATGCCTGTCAGCAGGAATATTTTCTTTCTCTTATAATTTGAATGTTCTTTTATTTCCTTTTCTTGCCTAATTGCTGAGGCTAAATAGACTGCTTCTACTACACTGAATAAAAGTTGAGAAAGTGATGTTCTTGCCTTGCTCCTGATCTGAGAGAAAATGCTTTTAGCTCTTCTCCACAGAACATTGTTGTTGGCTGTGGGGTCTTTATATATTAACTTCTGTTGTACTGAGATGCTTGTTGCAGTTTCTGGCTTGTTGAGTTTTTGAAATGGAAATTTTTATTTTGAATTTCGTACTTGTCTCATATCTGTTGGAAGATTCATATGATTTTTCATTTTTATGATGAATGGTATCTGCGTTCCAAGGATAAATCCCACTTGGTAACAATGTATCTTTCTATTAGTGTGCTATTGGGTTTGGTTTATTAGCATTTTGCTGAGGATTTTTTTTGCATCTATATTTATTAGGAGTTTTAGCCTGCGGCATCATTAAAGCTTTTTAAAATTATTTCTTTAGATTCACTTATAAAGCAGTAGCCATCATCATGTCAACATGTGTGTCATTATACTTGGTTTTCATTTGTTCACCTTGGCCACCGTCCTTCTCCATTCACCCTTTCCTGCTGTATCTGGTTCCCTTTCTTCTTTTTTAAAAAGGAGTTATATATATATTTTTTAAAGGTGCATTTATTTATTATGTATACAGTGTTCTGCCTGCATGCCAGAAGAGGGCATCATATGTCATTATAGATGGTTATAAGCCACCACGTAGTTGTTGGGAATTAAACTCAGGACCTATGGAAGAACAGCCAATGCCCTTAATCTCTGAGCCAACTCTCCAGTCCCAAGAGTGGCTTTCTTTAGGCATCATGAGTGGATCATGCTTGCTGTTGCCTACCAGATCCAGATATGTTTCATGGGAGGTTCCAGGACAGATGCACCAAAATAGTCCAATGACCATTCTTAGACCATCTCAGACAGATTGTGTGACCATAGTCAAATCACTCACTGTCTTGCTCTGAACACCAGCTACTTGGGACCTGTAAAGAGAAAGGAGGATAACAAGCTGAAAACTGGTTATACTTTGAGAAAATGCTTCCCTGTGTAACACACCAGTAATTGGCAAAAAAGCTGCTGCATCCTTAAAACCTCTCAGTTCTGTGACCAGAGTCATGGAAGTCTGTGGAATGAAGTAGCAAGAACAAGGTGACTGTCACTTGTCAGAGAACGGTGAACTTCACTGGTGGCTCACACCGGAGTCTGACAGAGGTGTTTTACTCAGTTCTACGCATGTTGGCAATTTCACATCAGACTCTTTTGTTCTTTGACCAGAATTCATCAACAGTAGCTGTAGTCAAAAGCATCAGAATGGGAACAATGTCATCATTTTTAATGTGAGTTTGAAAAACCATTTTTTATAAAGCAGTTTTTGTCTCATAGGAAAATTGTAAAGAAGACATAGAGTATCCTGTCCCCTGACCACCCTCTGCATCATCAGCATCCCACCAGTGGCACGTTTCTTGTCATAGATGACCCTATATTGGCACGTCATCATTACCCCTAGTTGGTACTTTACACATTAGGGTCTCTTTCCTCTTGGTTTATAATGACAGGCAACCCACACTTAAGCATCCTGAAAGTAGCCACGCAAATCCTCTGTGTTCTGCCAGTTTATTCCTCCTTCCTTCCCTGCCTGGCAACCCCCAACTTTTTTACAGTTTTGCCTTTTCTAGAATGTCATCGAATTGCAGCCATATATTAAGTGGCCTTTGCAGGTTAGTTTCTTTCTTAGTAATACATATTTAGATCTCTCCCCACACCCGTGGTGGGTGTGTGTGTGTGTGTGTTTGGGGGCTGAGTCTCTCAGTTGTATCCAGATGATCAGTTTGCTTGTGGGAATCCCCTGTCCCTGCCTCTTGAGAACCAGCAGTGCAGATGGGCATCATGCCTGTCTGGCATGTATGTGGGTCCTAGGGATCCAAACTCTAGTCCTGCTTTTTGTGTGGCAAGAACTTTACTCTCTAAGCCGTCTCTGTGGCCCTATAAAGACTTCTGAATCACAAGTAAATATATTCCTCATTTTCAATACAGATGAATGACTTTCTTCTGAATGTACCCATATTTTAAAGATCTATTCCTTTATTGAAGGACATACCAGTCAAACGACAACTTTCTGTTACATTTTCATGATGTCTTTTGTAGGACTGGATGGGTAAGACATGTAAGAAGAGAGCTTGTGATTGTGCAGAGCACTCATATAAAGTTACAGGTTTCCCTAGGAGAAGGTGCTATTGACAGCCATTCTCCATATTCCTACTCACAACATGTGCGATGGGACATTTTCCATCTGCCTGTGTCTTCTTTCATCATTTATGCTTTGTAGTTTTCACTATACAAGTATCCTACCTTTTAGTTAAGTTTATCCTTAGTATTGTATTCCTTCTGATGAAATTATGGGATATTCTTGCTTGGCTTTTCAGGTAGATGATTATAAAAACTTGTGTGAAAAATGGATGCAACTAGAAATCACTTGTGTTGCCTAAAGAATGCCACTCTTGGGGCTGGAGAACTGGTTCAGAGGTTAAGAGCCTTGGCTGTTTTTTCCACAGGTCCTGAGTTTAATTCCCAGCAACTACATGGTGGCTCATAACCATCTATAATGACATCTGGTGCCCTCTTCTGGCATGCAGGCAGAACACTGTACACATAATAAATAAATGTATTTTTTAATATATAACCTTTTTTTAAAAAAAGGCCACTCTCCAAAAAGCAGCCTTCCAACTCCTCTCAGCATTGATTTCTACTTAGTGATTTACAGTGGTGAACTTGTTTCTTCCCCCTCATTAAAGCAATGCTGACTTGAGGAGTGGAAGGCTGATTTGAGGGCTCTACCTTTATAATCAAATCCTCATCTTGAACTGAGACCCCTTCCTGGAGACATCTCTGTTGCCCACAGCAGGAAGGTGTCTTTTCAATTTGTGTTTTTTTGTGTTTTTTTAACCTAAGTCTTGAGCATCTCCTACAAAGAAAATTTTAATATAATTGGTTTCGGAGCATCCAGGAGCCTTTTAATTACCCTCTGAAATATGCTTAGACAACAGCTTGCTATTAGGTTAAACAGTGTCAGCATCTGTACTGCAAACACTCACATGTTTATTACAGTTTGCCAATCAACATTTGTTTTCAAATATTTTTTTTACAAATAACCTTCTCTGGGCACACCTCTCCAGCCCAGTAGACAAAGCCCATCATGCCAACTGCAACACCATCTTCTCTTCTCCTTACTCCCCATCAGTGCTGAAACCTATAAAATTCAGACAGCATCATAAAACTATAGAGCACCTTGTGATCACTCAAGAGCCAATTATGCAATGATTACACAGCCAGCTCCCCAGGCTCTTTTGGAATCCGGTGTCTGGTCATTTTGCTGCTCATTAGCCCCTTTTCCTGAGATTGAGCAAGGAAGACAACAGAAGACGGACTTCAAACTCATCCATTTGCTCCCTGCTATCTGCTCTGGTTACAAGTTTACTGAGGAAGTGGGATAAAATGATTAATATGAGGTTTGAAGGCTGTTTCTGAAGCTCATTCGTTATCTTTCCTCCTGAAGTCATCTATAGAATGCACTGGCCTTGGGATTAGGCTAAGAGAGTCGCCATGGTCATTTGGGCCAGAGGAAAAATGGTCATGACAAATCATTAAAGAAGGCTGACACTGGGTCTCCTCTGTAAGAGTCAGTATTACATGCAACAAGTAAAAAGAGAACTGCCATAGGGCACAGCTATACAATACCTGGCATATGCCCAAAGGACTCTGTAACCTGCCACAGAGAGATTTGCATAGCCATGTTTATTGCTGCTCTCTTCACAATAGCAAGAAAATGGAACCAGTCTAAATGTCCATCAACAGATGAATGGGTAATAAAAGTGTGGGCATATATACACAATGGAATTTTAATCAGCTGTTGAGAAAAAATGAAATTATGGGGCTGGAGAGATGGCTCAGTAGTTAAACTCATATACTGACTGCTTTTGCAGAACCCATGTCTGGCAGGTTATAACCAGCTATTATTTCAGGGGGTCCTCTGGCATCTGAGGGCACCTGCATGTGAGCACACATCCCCACAGACATATACATACTCCACAGACACACAGAGGCACATAGTCACGCACAAAAAAAGACTTTAAAATACTAAAATAAAGGGAAAATGAAAATTTTAGGAAAACTGACAAAAGCTGATAGAATTGTAAAGGATTATATAGTGGTGACCAAGTCTCAGAAAGAAAAAGATCATGTTCTCTCTCCTATATGGATCCTAACAGTGTGTGTGTGTGTGTGTGTGTGTGTGTGTGTGTGTGTGTGTGTGTGTGTAAGGGTTAGGAAGAGTTGGTACAGATTGTAAAACTAGATAGGAGACTTCAAGAGGGAAACCAGGAGTGCTAACAGCGGGTGGGGTGGGTAAAGGCCATGAGTGGTGTGAAGTAGAAAGAGTCTACTGCGGTGGGAGGCACAAGAAAAGGAGAGAGAGAGTGGGGAAGAAGTGTTGGTAGAGGAAAAAATAATGATTTTTTAAAATACCATAGCAAGATCTAATCCTTTATTATAAGCTAACAAATTTTCAAAATCAACTAATCACCCTAAATTTAGCCAGGTCAAGTATACCATGCTTATATCCCTAGCCCTCGTGAATGGGAAATGAGGGTTAGTGGGTGTTTGAGGGAGGGGAGTCACAAGTTCAAAGCCCTCCTGGTCTATACAGCAAGATGTCAAAGGAAGGACCAAAAACTTCCTGTCATCTCACATCACCTTACAGGTTTTTAATTAAATTATAAGATACGGTGTCTTATGTCTAGTGAAATATCAAATAGCTCCTTTGTTTATCTATGCTGACTGCAGAAGCCCCACTATAGAGAAAGTCATACTTACAGAAATGATCTTAATAATGCTCTCAGGAAAAACGATTTTTCAATGATGGAGAATTTACATAAGCTACTAAGCAAACATTGCAGCAAGCTAACCCAGGTAGTAAAATAAACAATTAATACTGACCATGAGAGATAATCATGGAAAATGGAAGTTAATCATAGAGAATGGAGGATAATCAAGAAAAGGAAGTTTGAGCTTTTCAAAACAGGTATTTACCTACAAATAGGTATGGGTATATATGTTGCATTTTAAAAACTAGGCTGACTCTGTCTTCCTCTAGACAAAAGATTCTTGCTTCATGCTTTAATATGTGTTGGTTTATTCAGACCATTATTTTAATATTTCTTCAGAAAATTCTTTTCCCCTTAAGCGTATACTTCTTCTATTATATCCCAGTGTATACCCAAGGCTGAAAGCTTTTATGGGAGGAATACAGCTCTAATCTTTGAAAAACATGATAAGATACATAATTTACTGCAATTCACTTTATTATCAAATTTGCAAGAATATAGCTAAGGCATAAAATGAGGTCTCCCAGTGCATACGCTACAGGCTCGACCTCCTAAGTCATCTTACCCAAAACTCAAGGACAAATAAGCCACAGAGCAGAAAGACTGAACTACAAGTCAGCTGGCTTCCAGCTCTGCCTTATCACCTTGTAGCCATGAGACCTGGGCCAGCTGCTTCTCTTCTAAGGCCTCTGCAACAAATGGTCTCTGCATCCCTCCAACTCTTAACTTGTCATCTATAGGAAAAAAGAAAGAAGTTGTACCAGCAGGGGAAAATTCCAAATGAGCTAAAGAAATGCGAGCTCAAAGTTCAGTTGAGGATATGTGTGGCACTACATGACAGGTCGCCGGCCAGATACCTCTAATTAGCTGGAGGGGTGGGGAGGGCATGCTCAGTCCAGGGTCTGCCACACATTGCTGCTATTTCATAAATTTTATAATTCCACCTAGACATAGTTAGGCTCTGAAAACTCTTTTGTAAGAGGTAAAAGATTTGTAAGCCAGAATGCCAATCTAATAACATAACATGCCCAATAGGGGTAGATATTTATAGTGCTTGAAGAACTCTTTGTAGCTATTTAGAGTGCCAGTTCCTGTTATTAAGG